CATACTATATTCTTAGAAAGTAATACTTAAATATCATAAAGCTGCCGGTGCTCCCTAACTTAATCTATAATTAGCATGATCTCAGTAAAAAATACCAACAGGATTTTATTTTGTTTGCTTATTTTGTTGAGACAAGCTGATTGCAAAGCTTATACAGAAAAACTCAATAGACTAGAATAAACAAGATTATCCTGAGAAAGGAAAGAAATAATGGGGTACTAGCTCTGCCAGGTATTAAAATCTGTTATAAAGCTATAATAATTCTAATCATAATAGCTAACGCAAAACACTTCCTATGTGCCAGGCACTGTTCTAAGCACTTGAGGTATAATAACTTGTTTAATCTTCACAACATCCTGTTGAGATTAACTTGCTCAAACTCACAGAGCCAATGAGTGGCAGAGGCTGAATTTAAACTCAGGTACTCTGGCTCCAGTGTGCGTGCTCTTCATCACCGTGCTCTACGATCATTCATTATTCGCACATAAATAGATACGTAAAAATCAATGGACCAGAATGAAAAGCCCAGAAATTGACCCAAATGTGAAAATGGAATTAACCTATATTGGGGAACGGAGGGCATTTTAAATCAACAAGCACAACTGGTAGCCATCTTTAAAAACAAAAGATTCCTTCCTCACACCTTGCATGAGAATAAATTCCAGATGGATCAAAAATTTCAATGTAAAAAATGAAACCATAAACTTACTCAAAGAAACCACAGGAAAATATTTTTAAAATCTCACAGAGAGAAAAGCCTTTTTAAGTATGACTGACAAAAAACCTGGAAGCCATAAAAGAAAAGATATATTTCATTAGATAAAAAGGATGAAAAATCTGTTTGACCAAAAAAAATTGTGTAAATAAGGACAAAAGGCTAACAACAAATGGAGAAATATTTGCAACTTATTTCACAGATGAAGGACTAATTTCCTTACATACAGAGTTCCCCAAAGTAATAATAAAAATATTAAAAACTCAGTAGAAAATTGAATGAACAAAATGAATAGATGGTTCACAGCAAAGGAGTATATAAATGGTGCTTAAAGACTTATTAATAATAACTTGATTGCGGTATGATGCACATGCCATCCAATTCACATAAAGTGTACAGTTCTCTGGTTTTCAGTATAGTCAGAGTTGTGCAAACATCACCACAATCAATTTTAGAATATTTTCATCAACCCCCCCCAAAAAAAGCCCCATACTCATTAGCTGTAGCTCCCTTTCCCCACCCATCCCCTTGCAGCTCTAGGCAACCACTAATCTACTTTCTGTCTCTATGGATTTGCCTATTCTTGACATTTCATATAGACGGAATCATGTCATACATGGGCTTCTGTGTCTGGTTTCTTTCACTTAAAATAATGTTTTCAAGGTTCATCCATGTTGTAGCATGTACCATATACATACTTTATTCCTTTTTTATGGCCAAATAATATTCCATTGTATGGATATACCACATTTTGTTTATCCATTCATAGACATTTGGCTTATTTCTACTTTTTTGCTATTGTGAATAATGCTGCTATGAAGATTTGCATTCACATTTTTGTGTGAACATGTGTTTTCATTTCTCTTGAGTATATACCTAGGAGTGGAGTGCTGGGTCATATGGTAATTCTATGTGTAACTTTTTGAGGAACAGCCTGGCTATTTTCCAAAGTGGCTGAGCTATTTTACATTCCCACCAGCAAGGAATGAGGGTTTCAGTTTATCCACATTCTTCCCAACGCTTGATATTATCTGCCTTTCTATTACAAGCATCCTAATGGGTGTGAAGTGGTGTCTCACTATGCTTTTGATTTATGTTTCCCTGATGACTGCTGATGTTGAGCATATTTTCATGTGTCCATGGGCCATTTGTATGTTTTCTCTGGAGAAATGTTCATCCACATTGTGGTGTGTATCAGCACTTTGTTCCTTTTTATTGCTGAGTAATTCCATTGTATGAATATAGCACAATTTGGGTTTTGTTCATCTGTTAATGGACATGTGGGTTGTGTACAGTTTTTGGCTACTATGAGTAAAACTTCTAAGAACATTTATCTATAAGTCTTGTTGTGTACATATTTTTTCCCAGCTTTACTGCGATATAATTGACGTGTTAACATTGTGTAAATTTAAGGTGTAGGACATGATAAGGTGTACAACGTGATGATTTGATACATGTATGTATTGCTAAATGATTACCACAATCAGGTTAGTTAACACTTCCATCACCTCACATAATTGCCTTTTTTTATTTTTGATGGTGGTGAGAACATATAAGATTTACTCTCTTAGCAACTTTCAAGTATATAATACAGTATTGTTAACTATAGTCAACATGCTGTACATTCCATCCTCAGAATTTACTCATCTTCTAACTAGAAGTTTGTGCCCTCTGACCAACATCTCCATATTCCAACCCCCTAATCTACTCTCTGTCTGTGAATTTGGCTTTTTTAGATTTCACATATAATTGAGATCATATAGTATTTGTCTTTCTCTGAGTTATTTCACTTAGTGTAATGCTATCAAGGTCCATCCATGTTCTTGCAAAAAGTAGGATTTCCTTCTATTTACAGCTACATGATATCCCATTAGACACATATACCACATTTTCTTTATCCATTCATCTGTCAACAGACACCTAGGTTGTTTTCATGTCCTTTTTTTTTATGTTTTTTGGTGAGGAAGATTGGCCCTGAGCTAACATCTGTTGCCAATCTTCCTCTTTTTTTTTTTTTTTTTCTCTCCCCAAAGCCCCAGTACATAGTTGTATATCCTAGTTGCAGGTCATTCTATTTTTTCTATGTGGGATGACGCCACATCATGGCTTGATGAGCAGTGCATAGGTCCATGTCCAGGATCCAAACCTGCAAACCCTGGGCTGCTGAAGCAGAGCCTGTGAACCTAACCACTCGGCTACGGGGCTGGCCCCCTGTTTTCATGTCTTGACTATTGTGAGTAATGCTGTAATGAACATGGGAGTACAGATATCTCTTAGAGGTAGTGATTTCATTTTCTACAGATATATACTTAGAGGTGGGATTGCTGGATCATATAGTAATTCTATTTTTAATTTTGTAAGGAACTCAATACTGTTATAAATAATAGCTATACCAATTTACATTCCCACCAACACAAGGGTTCCCTTTTCCCCACATCCTTGCCAACACTTACCTCTTGTCTTTTCTATGATACCCATTTTTTACAGGTGTGAGGTGATAACTCATTGTGGTTTTGATTTGTATTTCCCTGATAATTAGTGATGTTGACCATCTTTTCCTGTGTCCCTGTTAGCCATTAATATGTCTTCTTTGGAAAAATATCTATTTAGATCCTCTGCCCATTTTCTAATTGGAGTATTTGTTTCGTTGCTATTGAGTTCTATGAGTTCCTTATGTATTTTGGCTATTAACCCCTTCTCAGATATATGGTTTGCAAATATTTTCTACCAGTGTGTAGGTTGCCTTTTCATTTTATTGATTGTTTCTCTTGCTCTGTAGAAGCTTTCTAGTTTGATGTAGTCCTGCTTATTTATCTTTGCTTTTGTTGCTTGAGCTTTTGTTGTTATATCCAAAGATTTGTTGCCAAGACCAATGCCAAGGAGCTTTTTTCCCTGTGTTTTCTTCTACGAGTTTTGTGGTTTCAGGTCTTACATTTAAGTCTTTAATCCATTTCAAATTAATTTTTGTGAGTGATATAAGGCAGAGGTCCAATTTCTTTCTTTTGCTTGTGAATATCCAGTTTTCCCAGCGCTATTTATTGAAGAGACTATCCTTTCTCCATTGCGTATTCTTGGCTCCTTTGTCAAATATTCGTTGACTGTGTATGCGTGTGTTTATTTCTGGGCTCTCTATTCTGTTCCATTGGTCTGTGTGTCTGTTTTTATGGCGGTACCACATTGTTTTGATTACTATGGCTTTGTAATATGGTTTGAAATTAGGAAATGTGATGCCTCCTGCTTTGTTCTTCTTTCTCAGAATTGCTTTGGCTATTCAGGGTCTTTTGTGGTTTCATATGGATTTTAGGATTGGTTTTTCTATTTCTGTGAAAAATGCCGTTGTAATTTTAATAGGGATTTCATTGAATCTATAGATGGCGTTGGGTAGTATGAACATTTTAACAATATTAATTCTTCCAATCTGTGAACATAGATATCTTTCCATTTGTTTGTGTCTTCTTCTGTTTCTTTCATCAAAGTCTTGTAGTTTTCAATGTATAGCTCTTTCACCTGCTTGGTTAAGTTTATTCCTAAATATTTTATTGCTTTCAATGCTATTGTAAGTGGAATTTTTTTAAATTTCTTTTTCAGATAGTTTGTTATTAGTGTATAAAAATTCAACTGATTTTTTTATGTTGATTTCACTCTAGTGAATTCATTTGTTAGTTCTAACAGTTTTTTGGTAGAGTTTTTAGGATTTTCTGTATATAAGATCATATCATCTGCAAACAGAGACAATTTTACTTCTTCCTTTCTGATTCAGGTGCCGCCTATTTCTTTTTCTTGCCTAATTGCTCTGGCTGGGGCTTCCAGTACTGTGTTGAATACAAGTGGTGAGAGTGGGCACCCTGTCTTGTTTCTGATCTTAGGGGGAAAACTTTCAACCTTTGACTATTGAGTATGATGTTAGCTGTGGGCTTCTCATGTATGGCCTTTATTTTGTTGAGGTATGTTCCTTATATACCCATTTTCTCAGAGTTTTTATCATGAAAGAATGCTGAATTTTGTGGATATGTGTTTTTATTTCTCTTGGGTAAATATCTAATGGTGGAGTTGCTGACAAACTGTTTTTCAAAGTGGTTGTGCTGTTTTACATTCCTACCAGCAATGTCTGGAAATTCCAGTTGTTATACATCCTTGTTAACGTTTGGTGTTGCCAGTCTTCTTTTCTCCCCCAGTTTTATTGAGATATAATAAGCATATAACATTGTGTAAGTTTAAGGTGTACCATGTGATGATTTGATATATGTATATATTGTGAAATGATTACAACAATAAGGTTATTTTTAAAAATATGGCACACTTCACAAGTTTGCATGTCATCCTTGTGCAGGGGCCATGCTAACCTCTGTATTGTACTAATTTTAATATATGTGCTGCCAAAGCGAGCACTGTCTTTTTAATTTTAGCTTTTCTAGTGGCTGTGAAGTGGTATCTCATTGTGGTTTTAATTTACATTTCCCTGATGATTAATGATCTTGAATACTTTTTTATTGCTGATTGGACAATTTCCTTTGTGATGCCATTTTTTTAGTGGGTTATTTGCCCATTTTTTAGTGGGTTCTTTGTTCTAATTATTGAGCAGTAGGAGTTCTTTATACTGGTTGCAAGTCAGATGCGTGTATTGCAAATATTTCTCCCATTCTTTGGCTTATTTCTTTCTTTAATGGTGTCTTTTATTGAGCAGAAGTTTTTAAAGTTCACTTTTTCAATTTCTTCTTTTAGTTAGTGCCTTCTGGGTCTAGTCTAAAAAAATCTTTGCATACCCTAAGTTTATGATACTATTACCCTGGATTTTCTTCTAAAAGCATTAGAAATTAGCTTTTATGTCTAGGTCTATAACCCATCTTGAATTAGTTTTTATGGGTTGTTTGAGATTAGGTCAAGGCTCTTTTTTTTCTTCCATATGGATAGCTAGTTGTTTGGTCCAGCACCATTTGTTGAAAAGATTTTACTTTTCCCACTTAATTGTTTTGGTTCCTTTGTGGAAAAAAAAATCAATTGACTATATATGTGTGGGTGAATTTCTGGATTCTCTACTCTGTTCCATTGATCTATTTGTCAAAGTCTAATCTTGATCAGTTTAGCTTTAGAGTAAGGTAGAGTATGCCTGAAGCTTTTGCTTTTTCAAGATTGTTTTGGTCATTAGAGCTCCTTTGCATTTCCATTTCACTTTTAGAATAAACTTGTCAGTTTCTACAAAAAAGCCTAACAAGAATTTGAGATTGAAGAATCTGTAGATCAATGTAGGGAGAATTGTCATCTTTACAATATTGAATCTTCTAATCCATGAACATAGTACATTTTTCCTTAGGTCTTCTTTAATTTTTCTCAGCAATGCTTTATAGTGTTTAATATATAGATCTTATACAATTTATCAAATTTATCCCTAAATATATTATATTTTGTGCTACTGTTGCAAATAGTATTATTTAAAAAAATTTTTTACCAACTTTTTATTGCAAAAATATAGAAATATAATTGCTTTTCATATATTCCTCTCGTACCCTGTGACTTTGCTTAATTCATTTATTACTTCTCTTAGTTTCTTTGTAGATTCCTTGGAATTTTCCACATACAAAATGATGGCATATGCAAATAGAGACAGTTTTACTTTTTCCTTTCTAATCTCTGTGGGGTTTCTTTTTCTTTCTTTATTGCACAGAGTAGGACCTCATCACAATGTTAAATGGAAGTGATGAGAGCTGATATCCTTGCCTTGTTCCCAGTCATGGCAGGAAAGTTTTCAGTCTTTCTCATGGATGCCCTTTATTAAGTTGAGGAATTTACGTTTATTCTTAGTTTGCTGAGAATTTTTGTCATGAGGTGGTATTCAATTTTTAACATTGTTTTTCTGCATCTATCGAGATGACATAATTTTCCCCTTTATGCTGTTAATATGGATAAATCCATCTTAGTCATGATTTATTATCATTTTTACATATCGTTGGAGTCTTTTTACTAATATTTTGTTAATGATTTTTGCATCTATCTGCATGAGGTGTTTTAGGCTGCAGTTTCTTTTCTTTTAATATCTTTGTCTGGTTTGAGTGTCAGGATTATGCTGGCCTCACAAAATGAGTTGGGAAGTATTTCCCTGTGTTTTCTGAAAGAGTTTATATAAGGCTGGTAGTATTTCTCTTTTAAATGTCTCTTTTTCTAGGAAGACTTTTCTGAACTTTTAAATTAGATTTAATATGCTTCTTATAAGCTCTTTCCCTAACATTTGTCCTACATATAATTATTTTCTTGAATTCTGTCTTCTTCATTAGACTGTAAGCTCTATGAGAACATGATCCCTCTTGCTCACTGCTGTATTCCTAGCATCTAGCCAAGTGCCGGGTTCACAGTGTATATAAATGAGTATTTTCTGAATTGTATTAAATTAAAGGGGAAATAAGAGACTAAGAAAACTGAGAGTTGTGGCAAAATACTGAAGGAAGACAATATAAAAAGTCTTCCTTTAAAAATAATTCTATCAGAGCAAAGAGGACAATGAGGCCTAGGTGGACAGTGTAACATTAGTGAATGAAAGAAAGGAGCAGAGCCTTCTCCTCCTTTTGGATTGAGTCTTCTGAGGCAAAAGGCTGCTCTTTGGACGGGAAAGGAGAAAATAAACACTGGTTCCAGGGAATGAAATCAAACATAGCTGAGATCTTGTGAGAGATCACGTAACTGCTGTAAGTGAGCTCAAGTTTCTAGGCCTAATTTACATTCCAGGGTACTGAAGCCTAGTAGATAAGCTGGCTGAACCACTGCCCGCAGTTTTGGAGAAACTGGAAAGTGTGCATGTTGGAGGCAGGGCGTAGGAGAGTGGAGAGCAGGAGTTCCCAAAGAATGGAGTCAGAAGGTCATTTCAGCATACTGAAAGCTGGTGACCTTGATATCCATCGTGGGTGATATTCTTCAACTATTTATTAAAAAGGATAAATTGTAGATGTTCAGAAAAGGAAGTTGTGATCACTGTAAGCCTACTGGAATTTATTGAAGAAGAAGGGGCGGGTGGTGACGAGGGAAGAGGAGAGGACGGAAGGGGTGAGGAGAGGAAAAAGGAAAAGGGCAAGGGCCCAGGTTTGATGGGTAAATAGGCCTAATTTCAACCCCAGCTCTTTCACTCCTTAGTAAAATGACATTGGGCAAGTTATTTAATTTCTAGAAGCCAAATTTCCTTAGTGGTAAAATAGAAATAATAAGAGCACCTACTTCAGAGAGTAGTCCTGAGGTTTAAATCAAATAATGTGTGTAAAGTGCTCCTTTATTGAAATCAGGGAAAATTGTGAAGGGAGTGACAATGATGAATGATGGTGATGGCAATAATGCTGAAGGGGGAGGAAGTGAAATAGTCAATGCAAACTTAGTCCCTTATTTTCCTTTTGAAGGGATTGCTAAACTGGTAAATTGGGAGAATGCTGTATCTAATCTAGCTATATTTATTATATTTGTTTACTTTAATTGGACTTCAACAAGACCTTGACAGCATCTCCGTGATATCCTTGTGAACAAGCAGAAAGAATATAGGCTGGGTGATATATAACTGATTGAACAATCATACCAAAATTGTGCTAATTAATGGGTTCATGTCATGCTGAAGGGAAGCCTCTAGAAGTATAATTCTGTATTATGTCCTTAGATGATCTTTTTTTTCCTAATCCATTATTTGCAAAAGAGCCTTGATAGCAAGCTACTCAAAGTTGGGAGAGAGAGCTAATAAGCTGGCTAAAAGAAATAAGACCTGAAAAGAGATAGTATAATATAGTGCAAAGAATATGGGCTGGGTGTCATGGGTCTACCACTAGCTGTGTGGCCTTTTCTTAACTACTGGAGCCTTTGTTTCCTAATTCATGTGGAGATAATACCACTTATTGCATGGTGGTTATGAGAAAAAAAAAATTAATATATGTGTATTCATTATCTATTGCCATGTAATAAATTACTACAAAACTTGGGGGCTTAAAACAATAAACATTTATTATTGCACAGTTTCTGAGAGTCAGGAGTCCAGAGCAGCTTACTTGGGTAGTCGGGCTCTTGGTCCGTCCCAAGGTGGAGATCAGGGTTTGGGTTGGGGCTGCAGTCATCCGAAGGCTTGAGTGGGACTGGAAGATCTGTGTCTAAGCTCACTCACATCGCTGTTGGCAGGAGGCCTCAGTTCTTCACCACACGTTCCTCGTGATAAAGTAGTAATAGCCTCTGCAGAACAAGTGATCTCAGAGAGAAAGCCAGCAAGCAGGAAGCCACAGTGCCTTTTGTGACCTAGTCTCTGAAGTCACGTACTGTCACTTTCTTTTTATTCTGTTCATTAGAAGCAAATCACTAAGTTTAGCCCATACTAAAGGGGAAGGGAATTAGGATCCACATATTGAAGGGAGGGGGGTATCATAGAATTTTGTGAACATTTCTTAAAACCATTACAATATAAAAAGTACTCTCTACAGTGCTTGGCACACGGTAGGCGCTCCATAAATGGCAGTTGTTAATTTACACCTAACACATCTGTCCTTGCTATAAAGCCATAGTGGGTAGGATGAGAAAAACTCATGGTTTTTTCAGATTCTTGGAAAATACAAAGAAAGAAGCACCTTATATCACTATATTCATTACATCTATTTTGTAAACTAAAATTATGGACTATTTTTGTACTGCAGATATTGTATTGAGAACAGTACTAATCAAAATAAAGTTTGCATGTTCTGCATCGGCGGCCTGGGGTTCACTGGTTCGAACCCTGGGTGTGGACGTGGCACTGCTTGGCAAGCCATGCTGTGACAGGCGTCCCACATAGAAAGTAGAGGAAGATGGGCACGGACGTTAGCTCAGGGCCAGTCTTCCTCAGCTAAAAGAGGAGGATTGGCAGCAGATGTTAGCTCAGGGCTAATCTTCCTCAAAATAAATAAATAAATTTCAGTAACACTTAGTAGGTATATCTAAAATATATAGTCAGCCTGCAAATACCAGTGACATGGATAATTTGAATGCCAATTAATCCAAACATTGATTTTGTTAAGAGTTTTATGCCTATACTTAAATGTGTGTATTGCTCATCTGAGAATTCATCGAATTTTAACTGTGTAATATACCAGCTCGTCTGAGTGTCCTGCTCTCCTTTCCATTTAAAAATGGGCCACAGCTAAGACTGACAGAGAGGCCCCAGTCTACAGCAAAGATAAGACTTGCTAGTTCACACACCTTCCCTGAGGGCAAGGAGTAATTTTGGGAGAGAAGTAAACCAACAAACAAAAAATGTTCTATCAACAAAGGGCTCAGTTAAGCAGGAGAGTTAATGTTGACAGTAAAAATTGAGAAGCAAGAATAAATACGGCCAAATCTCTGGGTGATCTAGATTTCCTCTGTTTGTGTATACATTTGCATACATATGGTTACATAATGTCCAT